ATTTACCACGTATGCTATGCTACGCTGACTCATTCTAAGTGGTGGGACGTGGAACAGCTAAGTTTCTTTTGGATTCCATCCAGTACTTGAAGTAATGGCCTCAGATTACTTTTCGATAAGGCCCATAAAATTACCAAAATAGCAACACTGCACTCCTAAATTTGTATACGCTCTTTAATTGTTTGCTTTCTTGTTTGTAGTGATCTATATTGGAGATGTACGTCTGAAAGTCTAAATGATAATAAGTTTGTCCAACCGTTACTACGCCGACAAGAGAAGGATCGGCAAAACCTCACTTCCAATTTCGCCGCGGTATTTGAACTGAATCAGAACTGCCTTATCTTTATACTTCTTTTCAGGATTTTGATCTCTGTGATTGTAACTGGTTCATATTTGCCATATTCCACATTGCTGGAATTTGTGTACTATTTTATGACGGAATATCTTATGTTGAATACTTCACCTGAGCCAGTTGGTGTGCAGAGACTACGAAATGGACTGACACATCGCACTGCACTTTTCAACATCTGCTTTGTATTTAATTGGTAAGAGGTACTTTGGAAAGACCATATCGACTAACCCCATTCCTCGATTCCACGGAATCACTGAAGTAAAGATTAACTTATTAATCTGGGTAGTTGAACCAGCTACTTTAGTCACACTACCCTGGAGGTTGATACAAGTATTTCTGTTTTCTCCCTCCGTATTCCACAAACCTTGCATCACGTATGAAGACGACGTGAGGCAAAGATAATAGATTAGGCAGGTGTTTGCAATAATTGTGTTTGGAAACACAAAAGTGTTAAGTAATTTTCACATCCCTTAATGTTAATTACAATGGTAAACTGATCGACTTTAACCGCCTCTATCTGCGTAATAAAGTTGGTATCTGGTGAAAACTTTGTGTAGGCAATATGGGTACTCGTCACTTGAGTGTTGACATTCGGTCCACTTTCTCACTGCCTACTGGTTACTGGATAGAAGCAGATAGGTCAACGAACAATGTTATCTGATACTGGAACTACTTGAGTGGAATTACAAAGTACCCAGTCACTGGCTTAAGAGAATCGCAAAATAGATATTGACGATGCACTGCAACAGTCAGGGGCTTGTCATAATTGTGGATGGTTTCCTTGAATTCGGCCCGTCCAAGACTTTGAAGCCCTGTGTGATAGAATGTTCCCATGAACTCACTGATATATCTGTATTCGACTATTCAGTGCTAAATATTGCGTGATCCATCTAGAGATCCCCATTCTGGTTCGGCTCTCTTTAGTAGATATTACACTCATTTTTGTGACTTTACGATGCACGGACCATAGTGTACTACAATCTCTTATTGGCAAATGCAGCTTACTTACTAACGAGCCCTCGTTCAGACGGCTACAGGAACTGAAGCTGCAGTAAATTACTGCCACTTTTCGCTTGCTTACAGCATTGTACTCCCCGACTGGCGCAGCAATTGCTTGCACTGGTTAGGCAGAGATTCAATGTATGTGACCCGATACCGGCACATGAAGGTTGCCAGCGGAAGCCTCTAACCTACTTGATTCCATGAATGGTCATTTTGAAGCCCTTTTACTGTTCGTGGCTTGTGCCACACAATCCCAGTCTGAGACGTCACCTACTTCAAGGCGAACATTCTTCAACCTGGCCGATAGAAGTGGAACAGTCGATCAAAGATTTACATTATTTGTTTTAAACGGAGTCCCGATGACTAACTTGTCTAATGCCCAGATCAGCCTTAAGCTTAGTCCCAGCTCAGATTGCAGGTCGCAATCCAAACAAACACGATCCCACAACAAATGATTCAAAAGGATTCAACCGCCTATATTTTAGCATCAGACACACATCTAGCTCAGCACGATTCCGTGACTTAGGGTTACAGATCGGCTAATTGTCCATGAGTCACGGATGAGAGAATTATTCCTGGCAGTTCAGCTCTATCAGAGGAAAACACTTAGGAAACCGATCAAGAAATGCAGTATTTTGAGAAGGCAACACCACACACATATTGTCCCGGTTTCTTCGTCGATTACACGTGTTTACACAACGCAGACCTGTTAAGAGCCATTCTCTTCTCCGTTTTAAATAGAACTTGCTCATGTTCTGGTGTGCGCTCACCATTTATCGCGCTTGTAGTACTTGTCGCTTGCAGTTCTATCTGTGAACGCTCCTTCTTGGGCAGCTGGTGGACAATATGAAGAAAATTTATTAGAGGTGTTGCACAGACTTAAACGTTACAGTTTAAGATTCCGTTTGGACTGCTCTTTTGTACTGTCAGAACCAGGCTACTTGAGTCAAAAGATCGTCTTTGTAAGAGCTACACTGATTCGGTCGGTTTTACGAGTGAAATAACAGCTTGTCATTTACTTGTTAGCATTCGACAAAATATAAAGACCACGAACCTATCCGTTGCATTTAAATAATAGTACTAAGAAATGGGGTAGATATAATGTCGGGCTGGACGGATTCCTTTCTTTTGTTTTGGGAACTAGTATTTTAAGCATATTTTTCACACCGTTTTGACATACTTTTCTTTATGCTAGGAGAAATGAGAAGCCATCATGTCGGATAGCAGTTTTTCCAACAGAGCTCACTGTGAGCCTGTATACAAGAATGGTATGTTGCTCTGAACAGTACAGATTCCTTCAATTACAATATGACCCTAATTTTTAATCAGTCAAAGGGAAAAAGGAATAATATAGATCAGTTACTGCCAAAGCTGTCTTATAATTGAGAGATCATATTTGCGTTTATGGTTGAGTGCAGCAATACTACGGTGTATTCCACTAGATTCGCCTGAAACTACTCCTAGGTATTTATACCCCAGGCACTATCGACATATCAGCAACAGATGTATATGGGACCAGAGATCTACGTAAATAATGCTCAACTATTAAGGCCAAGAGTGTTTGTACAACGAAGGCTTCTGTTGGGTGTTTGTCCTAGTGTTCCGTTACACTCTGTATATAAACAGCTGGAATTAAACAACAAATGCAACAAACTTTGATCAGCAAAGTGTTGAGGTGATCTGTAGACATTATTCCCAATAAAATAAGCCCGCCAAACTGAAAACGGACATTTCCTTTCTTTGTGACTGCTGCTTGCCAATTAGAACGAGCCACAACAAACATCTGGGTGAATGAAAGCAGCAGCGTTGCAATCACTTGTCCTAAACTTTTCAATTTTTGGTTGTATTTAAAAATAATAACATTCGCAAAGCTAAATCATTTTAACTGCAGACAGAGTGCAAGCATATTAGGGAGTTCAAAGTAGCTGGTACCGTAGTCAAAGATAAACGTATAAAAGCAAGTTGGTTTGGCCCAAATGCATTCCCCTTCCTGTGTCGAAGGTTACGATAATTACCACGTTCTATTTATTGCAACGACTTCATGTCGCAATAGATACCCTGAAAAACCAGTAATAAGTAGTTGCTTGTTTTACTGTGGGAGCTCGACGTTGAAATTTTCTTAGGTCTCGTCAACACCGTTTAGTAGCTGTCGTGGAACTTGACTGTGTGCTTCAAGTAAACCACTTGGATGGCTGGTCGCAATGAGTTTTTGGGCAATAATCTTTGCCTTCGCACTAAGACAAGCATGTAAGCAAATTTGACTGGCACAATTGAAAGTGTTTTACAAACACATTCTTGTGGCCCAATGGTGTAAGAGGAGCGCATTGCTGATGTCGACTAGATCAGGTTAGCTTTCAGTGTACTAACCGCCGAACAAGCTCCGTATCAATTTGCTTAACTGGTTTGAACTCATCAGATGGAGATAGCCCGAGAAGAGGTAGAAATAAGGCCCCAGTGGTTCACGGCTGACGCCATAAACACTATGCCACTGAGATCCATGAGCAACGTTTGGTACAATGGAAACGAATTTGAATTTGAATTTGGGGAACCGGGTGTGTGGTTGAGTTGCAACACGCAACCTCAATTGAGACTTCGGTTCACTTTAAAGTAAACCTCAATCATTCCGATTTGCAAGGATTGTATCGCAAATGGAAATATTTGGGTGTTGCTGCGCCCAACACTGGCGTATCGCAACCCAACCACGCAGCGAGCTCTCAAAATTCAAGTTTGAATTCCTTTTCATAGCGCAGAGCGCTGATCGCGGATCTCAGTAGAGTAGTGTTCAGGGCGACAACCGTGAATTACTAGGCTCTGGGTTCCACCCGAGCTCAGATTATCGCCACCTGATGAGTCCAAACTAAGACAAAACCGCGGTCGTGGTGTGCCAGTATTAAGAGGAGCAAGGCTCAAATATTTCCATTTCAAATTTGATCCTCGCAACCTGAATGACTGAGGTTTACCTCAAAGGAAACCGAGGTCTCACACCACACAGCGGGTTTCTCAAAGTTAACTCTGAAGTGCTCATAGTGTTTATTTCCTATTTCTTCTTGTAATGCATAGGCTCACGCATAACACATGTAACCATTGAAGCGCTCTGAGTGACCGTCTTTTGTAACTTTGCTTTTCTATGAGACAGTTTTAGGGAAAATTTCAGTCACAGAGAAAACGAATTTCTGGCACAATCTTAGTATGTGTTGGGCGTAACTCTAGTTTAGTATTAATAAACATTCACGTTCAAAAGAAATGTGTTCCAATATCGTCACAACGCAGATATGAAGAAGTGATGTCACACCGAAAATATTTTACGTGGGCGAAATTCGCTAGAAATACGTCTCACTGGGTCGGTCACGGGTATAAAAAAGCCAAGCAACAACTGCATATTGTCGCATGTGCTGAATGAGTGTATGAGTTGGTAAGAAAGAATGGAATTATAGTTAAGGACAGGCATTGTTAACTGCTCATTATAACATCTAATGTTATCATCTAACAACTGATGCTATATATATTTTCCCGCTTTCTGAACAGATTTACGGGTATACAATAGCAAAAACAAGTAAAACAGCTAGTTATCCACTTGTATTGGCTAGGTAACTCTTGATTGTGAGAAGACTAGGACAAGTGACTCAATATGTAAATTGTTTCCCACCTTTTTGGTCCATCGTGTGTTGTATACTTCCGACTATTTCGATTGGTAACAGAGCTGAAAAGTAAAGCATTTGAATGAAACACGAATTTAACCTTAGAAAGCAAGTTGCGTTGTTTTTGTGGTCAAACAGTTAGATTGAGAATTTCTTGCCGCTCATTAGACGAGACATCAGTGTTGTTCAGTGTATTACCGTGGCATTACCTTAAATAGGTGCAAACCGCCTATCCGCAGTGTGCTTTCAAAAGTTACCAAACTTTGTTTAAATATTAATTTTTGGTAAAAACTCTGGTTTCAATATGTTACCTCAGGTTGATCTGTTTCATCCAGAAGAAGTCAACGGTTCAACTTGTTCAGCAGCATAAAGCGTAGCAAGTGTTCAAGTAATGCGCCGGATGTTAAAAAAATGTGGCAGCTTAAGTTACGTGTACAAAAGTATCTTTTATTATACTCCTAAACAGTCGATTTTAAACACAAAATAGCTGACTGTATTTGCAGTGGCCTACAAATCAGCTAGTTGTGCACAAGCTTTAAAACGTTCTAGACAAACTATTTTTAATAGGAGTGCGATAGTACTGCGCGTTCGTCGGCTTTTTCAGAAGCTGAGCTCAAGATAGCTAGCAGCGTACGTCAACTTGCCATGTGCTTATATCAGTAAGTCAAAATGAACAGCGCCGGACCGTCATGATTTGCAAGTAAACCACAGTTAAGCGCCAATTCACCTGCAACGACGCAAGATTAACAGTTGCGGTGGACATGTTTGCTTTCGAGATGCAGTTAGATTATGAGTCATTGTAGACGGCCGCTGCTCCAATAGCCCAGAGGTATAGGTTGCTGGCTGGCGGTGCACACCGTTAATGTTTATGGTTTTGATTAATGATAGTGGTGAGAAATGTGCATCCTTGGGGTAGCTTATTAAGACAAAGAAGCCATCTAGTATATTTCTTGGCATATGGAGGACTACATATTTGATTTTGTTGTAAGGAAGACTACGGATTATTTAACCCTTATTAATAATGACCACCATTTTTATACATAAATAGTCCCAACTTTTCAGCAGAAGCAGGTGATAGCATGCATAGTATCTTTTTGTATTAACAAACAAAGCGTGCACAGATCTAAGGAAATAAAGTTAAAAGAAACTTGCAATGGTCGTTTTAGTTCTTTGTAAAACAAAATTCATGTAACTTCCAATTTAGTCATTGTGAAACGAAAAATGCACTTGCAATACTTCATGATAAACTGTCTTTGCCAGTAAAAAAATATTTCTAATGCAGATGTTAATATTTTGCGCACATAAAGTATGTACTTTTGCTGATCAAAAGTCAGCATTTCAATAAGTATTGCACTAGGTGATAATGTCAAGCATGCAGATTTTTCAGTAGGTAAAACCAAAACCGTCTGCATACTACGTCTTGTTATACGAGATAAATTGTGTCTACAGAAAAACATTACTGTCTTTACCCCATGTATAAGCCAGAAAAAGGTTTAAAAGCCTACGTTTAGGGAGTCTAATTAAAGTGAGTTAGAAAGAAGGGTAATAGCGATGTATAATGGTAAAACTAAAATAGCGCAATGTTTATTTGATGGTACTGCAGCATACACAAATTAGTTTCAAACCATAACGCACAGCTTTCTTTGTTAACAAGTCAGCTGCTTACATCCAAAGCCCAAATAATTTACTGTTTGTTGTTGTGCCCATTACATTTAGACATATATCTGGTTAATTCCAAACAGGTTCTGGCTTGTTTACTTTGATTTTGCTTGGCTGTACACGTACACGTTTCCTCGGTGTAAATAGAAAGTTTGTTTCCAAACGCAGCGCTTTATAAAGGAGCAATCGTCAACGTAGTGTATAGTTAACGCCTTACTAGTAAATAGATTTTCTAGAAATGCCTTGGTTTAGTAATCAAGATGGAGTCGGGTAACGGTTGTTTTAGATTATGTAACAAGAAAATTAGCTTAGAAGCTGTGAATAAACCTAGACAAGTTTTGCAAAGTTAAAGAGCAGGTTTTATAATACAAAGCCTTCGTTATACTCAAAGTGCAAATAAAGATTTACTTATTGCATTGACCTACAGCAAGGCATTAAACGCGCGCTCTGCAGGCTACATGCGTACGTATGAATTATTAAGAAGCAGAAGAATCAAGTTATAAGGATTTTGCTTGTTTAAATTTGATATTTGGACACATACATCAGAGAATTCACTTTCATGGTTTGTGTGCGCTGATACCTTTAGTTATACACTTCCACTATTAACAGATGTACCAAGTACTATGCTTTTCTCTAAAAACCAAGCGCAGATATAACCGGTAATTCATTCCTGAAACAGAATTAACCTAAGAAAGCATGCACGATTTTAGTTGCTTTTAGATCACGTATGTTATTTAACTAATTTCCTTAACGTGTGCACATGCTTTATTATTCAGAAGCTAAAATAACAAGGAATGTGCACATTTATATTGCTACGCTGGTGTTCGGGCACCATTTTCTGAAAGAATGTAGCTAGTATTTTCCAACGTGCACCAGTGTTTCCGAGGTGTGCAAGGACTCAAAAAATTAGATGGCAAGTATTGTCGTAAGATTCATCAAGGTTGATATGCAGCTGTGTCACACATGCTTGAACAGTTACGTATAGACGCAATAAATGTATGTTAAAGGCGCAGTTATTGTAGTATGCCTAGTAATTAAATTAACGCAGAAATGTTATCGTGAGTTACCCGGAAGTTCGGAAGCCTAGAAAACTAACTTTGAGTTTTGGTACTTCCAAAAACAATAAAATTGTTTTACAAATTTGCACATTCAGTGTAAGCCCACCTACCAATTTAACCTATTTAGAACTGTAGACGAATGTAAGCTAGACCTCGTTGTCTTTACGTTTTACGCTTTGGTAAACAAACTTGTAGGCTACATAAATCCCGTATCAGGAAAGGGTTAGTAAAGGCAGCACACTACCTTTTTATGTTCTGGCAAGTGTGACGCTGATTATAAAAATACTCAACTTTAGAACGTTCTAACAACCAGACTTACTAAACCCTGAACCCAAGCTGGACACAAAAGTTAGACAGTTAACTTATAAAGATGCAGCACAATCTTTCTGTCTTACCACAGACAGTTTTACAATGAACGTCCCCCTAGGTTCCCTGTTGTATGCAAAATCTCTGATTTAGTAGGACACATTAACGTAACAACATTTTTTGCATTTTACATGGGCAAGTAGAGGGAGATAAATCAAAAATCAAGAATGTGCTATTTAGGGTATAAAAATTAAAAGGCGACCATTACAAATTAATAAAAAGATGCAGCGTATGTGAGTTTGTACGTTTTCCACTAAAAGTGCGTCAACTTATAACATACTTAGGAACCTTTCTTTTAAGTTACGGAAGCGAATGTATAAATAATGTTTGCAGTTTGATTGACCTTGGCAATACACAATATAACCATCAAAATTTTTTAAATTTGAAATTAAATGTGTGCAGGTTTCCGTTGAATTAAAGCTATCTGTTCAAATTTAACAACTTTGTTTATTTAAGAGCGAATATAAAACATTCATTGGATCCCTTTGCGCATTGCTGATAGTGTTAGCAACATAACGTGTAAATAACAATGCTCGAAGTTTTGCATATGTTCCATTTTTCTCTTACAGTTAAAATATGTTTGTTTAATCTTTCAGAAATAACTTCATGAAACTTTTGTCTAAACTTGCTTTGATGCACTATTTAGAGCGATCTTATTTTTCAAACTTTATGATGCGACAATGAAGTCGCTAAAATAATCACTCGGGATGACTTATCATGTAATCAAAAACTTTATCCATCTAAGCAATACCTCTGTTCTGTAAACCTACTGCGTTATGTTTATATTAGGGCCAAAACTTTGATATTAAAAAATAAACAAACTTATTACTTGAAGCACAACGTTAATTCTACCGCAGCTAATTAGGCATAACTGGCTAAAAACATTTAGGACGTTACACACTTGTGTCCACCTATTTACACTAAATGCAGACGCCTTACGACAAGATTTAATCTGTGCCACCTCGAAAGTTGACCCGCCAATGCACTGAAATAATTAAAGCATAAATTTTGGATGCTATATGTAGGTTCTGGTATCTCGCTTCATAAAGATAACGCCAAATGGTTCATCTTTAAGTACTAATTATTACTTCTGAAGCAAAGATAACTGCATAGTTTATTGTGCGTTGAAAAACTAAAAGCAGAAGACGGCATACGTGCCATAATCTTCGCCTCTATGTTTAGGACGATATTATTTTAAACGAAGGGATCTGTTATCTTTCGTTAAAGCCTGATCTGCTAATTGTCATACAAATATAAACCAAACCGTAGTATCATGGTTTAATGCACTGACAAATCTGCTGCTTAAAGCATTGGTAAAAGTTGGCTATAGTTCAATTAAGCTATTATTACAGTTTATCCAAAACAGTTGGTTTGTCAGCTTACTGTTTATTCATATTTGGTACTTTTACCTCTAAGTAAACGCAATTGATAGGTGACAATAAACAGCGGTATAAATAACGCACCTGTCCTAACATAGTACAAGAAAACACTACTAGCGTACTGTATTAGAATATTAGCTACGGTGTTTCCTGTATATGTGTTAGCTAGCCAAATAATGTCAATTACATGTGTATCTGTAGCGAAGCCTTCTTAGTAGCTTTGCTTTTGCATATTATACTTAGTAAGACTGAGTAAGTCTAGCTGTCACAAGGTATGACAAAATGATGGTATATATCACGGATAATATGCACACAATAACAATAAAAGCAAACGTTTGAGAAGGTTTATTATGTTAAAATAGCTGAACTCGTCCTTTTTTGCGAGAATTTATGTTGGCAACACCAGTTTTCTTAAGCATATTCAGCACTCTCCTAATATTCCCCATGTAAGCTATTGATAACATTTAATATACATCCCATGTTCAAACTTAGGGATAATGGTCCCCCTGCCTTGATTACACAAACGCCTATTCTCTACTTGATTTGCAACCAAACCTAGCAAATTCTGTCTGTTTGGAAAGCTGTACTTATACACAATTTTATCCACTTTCGTGGAGAAGGACGATAATTAATTGAACTAACTAACATTAGTACGCAAGTCCTGAATTAGGCTTGTTGATAAAACGCTGATTTGCTATTGAACAGTTGTTACTGACAAATCGGTTTTGAAATCTGAGGAATACCTAGCGCAACCTGGTCAATTCAAAAGTCAAATCCGGAAGAGCTAAGGTGCGATTCATTAAAGGTTAGACAACAATTTAATAACAAACTTCGAGCAATTTCCAGACCAACTATGCACAATAATTCGGCTTTCATACGCAACTTGCTTTCAACAGCAATGATAAACTGATAAGTGCAATAAAGTAAAGCGGCTCTAACGCCAGCGTGGGTTAAAGCAAATGGACCAATATTTAATCGAGCAGCCAAGGAGCAGTGCGCAAGGAACGCGGAAGTAGTAAGCTTAACCACTAAACGACGCAAACCGGTTAAACGCTTGTGGTTAATCAAATTCCAAATTTAAAAGAAAAACAAAATAGCAGACGTTTTATCATGCTAAGTTTAATAAGCAAACAAAAGGTAGTGATTAGTCGATTTGGGGTCAATCAATATGGGAAATTTCCGGAGCGTTTGAACTAGTTAATGTGTCCGTTACAGCAGTAAATATTATAGCAGTGACTTGAAAGAATCCAAAATAATAAAAACATTTTACTTATACCAAATTAGTCAAGGTTGTTAAGTAGTACTAAGTAGTGGGATAAGATATGCTTGCGTTCCTATAGAATATTTGCGTAGCCAAGACAAAAAGCGTTACTAGCTTGAGGTGAAAAGTTAGGGTAGCAGGTGATCGTAACTTATACTAAGACTTCCTATACTGTTCATTTATACCTAGCAAAATACCTTTATCACTTGTTTATTTTGCATACCGCAGCATGGTTCACTGGTATCCGGCACTTATTATATTACCAACGAGCTTTAGTGCCATACCCAATGTCACTTTTAACCTATTTTTATGTAAATATTCTCTTCCCTTTGGGGAGGTTATCAGGAGCGAGGCTTAAATTGTCAAACAGTTTCAAATATAATAGCATTACACCACTCCAGCCTAACCCGAATGATCATAAAATGAAAGCAAGTGGGGCAATCGGGACGCCCTCTGTGATGGTTTATAGGTGTTCGGCCAATACGCTGAAACACATTTGGGCCAGAATGCGGTCATTCATAGAAATATTTTTCAAGGCAAAATCTGCATATACAGTGAATAGCTTTTCCTGCTTACGAATACCGTCTCCATACGGCAGTTTCCGTTTATTAATAGTCATAAAACAGAACTGCAAAGGTAAATGTACACTAGATTTGTATTTTTGGTCGAACCAATTTGAACCAGTCTCACTAGTACAGCGAGGGACGCAAGATAAACGGTCACTAAGCAGCAGCTCATCAGTCACATGTAGTGTCTGAAAACTAAATTTTGCTAAATATTTTAACTGATAGCCAAAAACCGGTAATCATGTCAAGGAATTATCGCAGATAAAACGTACTTGGAAAAATTATGCTGTCATTTTGTAACCTCTCCAGTAAGAATTACCAAAAGCACACTTAACTGGAACGGCCGACAATCAAAATTCGTGGACAAAGTATGGCATTCCATACTGGCCGGTCTATAACACCATCATAGCTCTAAGTACAGGTTGCAATATGTTAATATCCCACATGCAAATATAATGAAGGTCTTAATCCGCCAAGTTGTAGCAGTAAGAAAGTGCACCATAGTATAATTGCTTTTGCTACGACTTTAGAAGAAAACCAGCTTTCTAATGGATCAACCGGTCTTACAATGCTAGTTACAATCCAAAATAATTTGGTTAAACAAAGTAGTAAAAGATAGAAGTATATTTAAATCATAAACGATAAACACCTACGTCGCATTATTATCATTACGTCAGTGGCCCTAAAAATGGCTCGAAATATTTAATTTTTAAAAAAATATAGTGTAGGTAGAGAATACCTGTGTTGTGACTTATGTGAATATTTAATACATAGAATGGAAGAAGCATATACAACCAAATACCGATACAGCACGCGTCGTATAAACATTGGTGACTCAGGGTTTCGTCTCTAACACATTAACTGAAAAGGCGAAATATCCTTGGTGATCTCAAATGCAAAGCGTGAAAAAGCAAAAAAATGTGCAGCTTTTTCGTCACAGGTTTAATAGCCTAGGTTAAGCAGTACAGTTCAAACAATGTAAAATAGCATAAAAAACAAAGTAACGTGGACAGCAGAAATAGTAGCCACCTTCAGTATTTGTGAACGATAATGCATGAATATTTTAAAACTACATTGACCTCTAAACTTGAAATTGTTAACTGCGTAAAACATTCTAAGGTGTTCACCAGCCGAAGCAAAAAAGAAAAATACCTTTTACAACATTTTGTTGTGAGCTTTATGTATTACTTCGACTTTTATATACTGCATTTCCCATTAGGTTATAAAAGCTGATGTTGTCGTGATGTTAGTCATGATGGAAACTTCGCTGCGCAGACAACAGTTTTGCATTATACCTAATACTATTTTTGCCAATACTATATGAAACTATGTTCTTAAATGATGATACTACACTAACACCCTTCTTATTTTTCGCAATAGTTGCAGCACTACTAACTAAATGCTGTGGTGTTAACTGTTTGCAAAAATAAAGCAAAGCTTGTATAGGAGTTATCCTATGTATTTTTAATCAACAATACATCACTTCAACGGCTGGCACCCAAGGACTGAAAGGAGTACCATAGGTAATTCTAACTGTCTTGACAGCGAGTGAGCTGTGTGTCAAAGCTTGAGCGACAAGCAGTAATGCCATACTGGTAGTATGTGCATTTACCTATACAATTCGCGGAATGGCAGCGGAGATAATTAGTGTGTATCAAGCGAATATTTACGGGAGCCAGTATTTCAGCATATAATTTTTTCGGAATCGCTCCGTAAGCATTAAAACCAAGTGCAAGGAAATGGTTTACGAAATTTGCATTGTTTCTGTGTATTAAATAAACTGGTTCACTAATTGATTTGACTTGAAAGCCTCAGTAGAGGAAAGAGCTGTTTAGTGAAAATTTAGCCTTTAATCATTCAGTGCTCTACAACATTGGATTTCCTTTGCACCTTCTTCCCAGCAGGTAACAAACCAGACGGTACAACAAATATCCACAAAGTCACTTATCGACGACTGTTCTATTTAAACAAGCAGATGGTGTATACCCAAGTATCCCAAAAGATACAACTGAGGACCGCGGCGAGCTTTCGCTAAAAGTTAAAAGCTAATACCCCAGAACCAGGTTAGACGATGGCTGAGCATCATAATTTGCAAGCATTTTGGTTATACCGCAAACTGCCTTCCAACCTTATGGACACAGTTACCTAACCAGTTCCGTTATGTACTGCATACCCTTCGCATACTGGCCGTCCTGCCTCGTCACTAGTTAGCAAAACAATTTTATAAGGCAGTTGGTTTATTTATTACCATCGTTTCTTTACGCCGCTCGAAAGATATTACACCGTGTTACCCTGCCACTGTAGACTATATAGGTACCTACGAAATGTGAAAACGGACTTTATGCATGAGCCGGTTGTGCCAAATTACTCCATTAGATGTGTCCTGCCGCAAACTTGTAATTTGGTAACCATAGGAAGTATCATTAATGGCGAACAGGCATGCCGCACTAAGTGAAATCATTTAATCGGGGAAAAACAACGCAGTGCAATACCCTCCGCTCCTTGAAGTACAGCCTTCCCCTTGTGCCAGTTAGGTAGTTCGGGTGTGTTGGGGTCGGAAACTGCTGGTGAGTGAGAAGGCAACATTATCGGTGGGCCGATGGCCGATCGAACACCACTCGGTATTTCTTGGCCTACCAGTCCGATGTAATACAGTCCTAAAAAAGTAGGCATTTCGTCGGAAGCAGCTTAAGCAGCCAAGCAGCAAATATTTGGCGCACGCCCGCGGCGGTCTTTGAAAGTACAACTGGCAGAAAAACCCTCCGTGTGCAAGTGACCATTCAGAAGCCAGCATGTACAAAAGTAAAGCCGAAAAAGCGCGAAACATGAGGAGTGTATAAACGGGTGTTCGACACAAGTTTCGAGTGACCTGCGTAACAAATCGTTCCATCTATCCAGGAAAGCAGCCACGTATCAAGGCATAAGGTTGGACAGAATTAATGTCGCGAGCATGAGAAAACTTTTGGAAATCAGGCCATCGACCGGCCAATACTAAGGATATGCCCGTGTAGCGGACTGTCGCAAATAATCTATTGACTCTATGTATATGTTCGTGTAATCTTAATACCAACCCTCGCGAGCAAGGCACAGGATTCTCGAGTTCCGGTGTGCTACTGGAGCACGGGCCAACCTCGCTCCAGCGACCTTTTCAGCTACAGTGTTCCATTGCATAGTGTACTTTCATCTGGTAAGCGTTCGCCCTATGATGAGCCGCTGGCGTCTGTTTAACAGCACTATGAAGCGGTGGGTAGCACTCACCACCAACTAAAGTCACCGTTCCATGCTTTTCCAGGCGATCATAAACAAGCTGCGAACGTCCTTCCTCTACCTTGAAGCACTTCTTTGGTCAATTTCAACCGTGTTGATCCGAGATAGCACAATCATACATACAGTTGCATATTACGAATAAAGCAACCCAAAACATACAAATACCTTTATATATGTAATCGGGCCCCACAAACGCATTCTAAGCGACCAACTGTAACGCACTTTTACATTTACTGATTATTCGTGTAGCTTTACATGATCATTCCTAACTAGGTGTGCATCACGTTGTCTAGAACAAACCAGTTATTAACTTCACAATTTCAGTTTTCCTATTGCAGTTGATAAAAACATAGAACACGCCAACCGGTTTGCAGGCGACCTTATGGCATTTGCTCCCTTGTACCGCATTAGCTCCGCACCACCGTCTTCCATTACATGGCCGTGGCAACCTGCATTCACCTTGTATGCAGTCGTTAGTGACGTGGCGTTTATTGGGGGCCCGAAACGCTACAATTATATGCACTTCCTCAAAAGCATGTGCTTTGCAGCCCACAGGTAGACACAAACCGACGTCCTTCGTGGTGCGGTTTTGGGTACCGGTGCCACACTTGTGTTGGACTTATGTAGGTGCGTTGGACCGTGCGGGCTAAAGACGAAAGCTATATTGCCCGGACGACTGTGCAGTTACACCACAACCACCTTATGTGTTGGAGCTGGATACATGGTGTGACGGTATGAAGCATGTGACCAGCTGGACAGCGATCTACAGCCGCTGCTGGAGAAAGCAGCATGAGAACAGTTGCATACTGGCGCAAAAGTAAGCATAGGCGATGGCTGCTCTAACGATACCGAGGAAGAAATGGGTGGACAAAACAAAGGGAAAACAACCATCACAATCCAAACATTGTTTAACGTAATCGAACCAGTTGAGTTCCTACAGCGATGCACCGAGGCGCCATTTAGTGTGTACCCATGTACATCATGTACACCGTGTGTACACCGTGGAATATTAAACTGCATACGGTTCAGACAGTAAAGCTATGCAGCTGCGCCCTAGCCAATGTAGTAAACATGCATCGTTTTTCCACATTTCTTTTCTTTTAGCGTGTCTACACGCACCAGAGGTCGTGATAAAGGCAACATTATTCCTCAACTAACATTTCCCAGACTGAGTTAGGCGCGTCGTGAGCGCTGCATACGCACGCAAACAAGCGGGAATATTTTGAAATACTTAAATGTCCTTATCCAGCATTAACCATATCTCACATATGCAGCTTCTGAGAACAAATTGCCGTTGCTTGCACATGCGCACATATTCATCACTTATACCCCGTTAGGTATAGTTCCCTACTTCCACTCCTTCTCATAGCGCTGCCATCGGATAAATAGCGTTAACGTCGATAATTTAAGCTTGTAGTTCTCTACCGTATTTGCAAGTAATCAATAACCACACCGCCATTTATCGGGTCAAAATGCATGCACCTTAGCCGCTATCGGCTCACTGACGTTTACCTAGTTGCCGTTGTAGCTGCACTTATTCTTTTTCAATTTCCCTACACGATAGCTTCAGCGAGTAGACTAGTGCCCGTGCAAAATGTTTCATATATGTTAGCAAATTTTTTAAATTTAAGCTATCTTCCTTTTGGTGTTTAGAAAACGCGACGTTTGTAGAAATCCCGTCATTTAACTGCGTGTGAAAAATCGAATGATTTGTTCGTTGTGCAAGGTAAAAGTACCTCTGCACTTATATTAACAATGCTCCATTTGTCCTTATAAATAGGTACGTATATCTGCTCACTCAGTGATGTTAGCTTGTAGGTATATATGCGTTGGAAATCAATGCGCTTTATTTTTACCTTAGTAGCATAATAACAGCCGACCAGCGGATACCAAGCGAGCTGCGCGGCTGCTTATCGCGGGCGGCTTGGTTTTGCCAAGCTGCCATGCCGTGTGGGAATTAACTACCAGTTCACCAATTGGATGGAGCGGTGGTATATGTGTCCATGGTGCTGTCCTTTCTTCTACCTGGCACTGAAACCTGGACGCTAATCGGAAGTGTGTCTGCTACCTCAAGTGGATCCATCAGCTGCGACTGCGCCGAATTTTGCGCATCGGCTGGAGTGACCGGGTTACAGACACGGAGGTGCTCCAACGCGGCGACATGTATGCGGTGACCTGCCTAATGCTACTAAGGCACATGAGCCCACTCGTGCATGTTGGCCACTTGGCTTCGACCTGGACACCAAACCAGTTGCTTTATGGCCCACAGAATGGCGTGTAGGAGCATTGGAAAATGCGATTACTTTACCAAGACATGATCAGAGTGGACCAATTACATTCCAACGTTGGTTGCTGGTCATGGGCATAGAATGCGGTTGAGCGGTGTGCTAAGTGCACCCTAATGACGAAGGTAGTTGCCTAGATGCAAAAGACAGCCCTCCTGAATGCAGAGAAGAGGTAGCAAGTGCTGATGCGATGGGCGTCGATGGGATCTACTCCATTGACTTTGACCGTATGGTGGTGTAACACATGCAGTAGCGAATGCCTGAGATAGGCTAGCCTAGTTAGCCACGACCAAGGCACTCAGGACCAGCATGGAAACGACGGCGAGTCCTGTGGAGATCTTTAGCAGAACCGGTGTAGCTTTGGTAGCTGCGTTGCATACGACTTTCTAATCACCTACCAAAATGTGGTTTTTTTTATTTCATGTGTATGGTTTGCTACCCTACGTTAGTGTTACGTTGATGCCACCTTTTAATGTGTACCAAAATAATCTATATACTTACAATGTTGCTTAAACCAAAGGAGGTTAACTTCGT